GAGCTGTGAAGCGTGCTAGGCCCAAGAGTCTCCTATAGGAAATCCGTGATGCAAGTAAATAAATGGTGGACTGATTCCTGTTGGTTTCTCCATCACAAGTAGGTAAACATATTTAAAAGGAGTCCCTTAGATTCTACTAGACTTTTTAAACTCAAGGATGAACATAAGTGCTGGAAATAAAATCCTAATACTTAAACATCAAAGCTATGGCTTAAGGCTCTCCCTCATTCATGTAAGCTCAGTGTAATCAGAACCTTTGTGGCAAATTAAGGCTCGTACAAGTAGGCAAATAATGTGAACTCTGTTTTTATTATATGTGAAGACATACAGCTTAATTTTTTTTTTTTAAGATTTTACTTATTTATTTTGACAGAGACAGCGAGAGAGGGAACACAAGCAGGGGAGTGGGAGAGGGAGAAGCAGGCTTCCCGCTGAGCAGAGAGCCCGACATGGGGCTCGAACCCAAGGCCCTGAGATCATGACCTGAGCCAAAGGCAGACACTTAACGACTGAGCCACCCAGGCACCCCAAATTTTGTTTGTTTTAAGACATTTTAGGATAAGACAAATCATCATTAGTCTGGCCCACAGAACAGAGTTTATGAATATCATCATTTCTTACTAACAGACCTATAGTAGGCAGTTCCATGATTCAAATGTGGCGCAAAAGGTTTTAAGATTTACCTGAGTGTAGGAGAAAAGAGTCTTACCTTGAAGTGTTTTGGTCAGGAGTCCCAGGTCTCCCCACCATCATGATAGCTCTGTATCTTAGGATAGGAGGCAGCGGCTTTATTACGGGAGATGGGAGATGGCAGCTTGACCTCTGAGATCAGGATGTTTGTCTTGAAGGCCTTATCTAATCATCTCTCCTATGGGCTCTTGGTCTATTGAGACTCCAGCACACTAGAAAGAGAACCTAGTAGTAGAAAGGAATGGTTTTTGGGTCAGGTCTTAACTCTCCCACTTACTAGCTCAGAGCGCTTTCTAAGGACAAAATTTGATGATGCAAATGAAAGGTCTGCAGGGTTCATGGTCAAGTATTCTGTAAGGTTTAGCTGCCTTTGGATTTGTTTAAGCCCTCTCTAATGTCCGATATTCAAAACCAGAGGAATACCAAAATTCTGCAAGTCAAAGAAGGGAAAAGTAAAGGCAGGCATATTAAAGAAAAGAGTGTGTGTAGATTCCTACTAAGGGCTAACAGAAGAAGCCCACAGAATAAAGGGAGGAAAAATTCACAGAAGCAGCTCTATGTCCATATTCTGTTCTCGGGCTCTTGCTCGTTCATGCAAAGCCTCGTTCAGTTGAAGCTGCCTAGAACGCTTTTACCTTTGTTCTCAGTTGATTCTTTTCATTGACCTTAAAATTAAGCCATTCCTCTTTGTCCCAGTTCTTGGGGAACTCAGTTCTTTGGTCTTGCGACCCACTGCATCCCTGAATGTCTCACAACTCTTCTCTCATTCTAGCTTGTGGAGTTGAGCTTTCAACCTCCTTAAGCATCACAGCGCTCCTAATGTTCATAGCCCCTCTCTGATAATGGTTCACTTTTTATCTTCCCACTTAAAAACTTTGCTTCCACTGGTTCTGCCCTTTCTCTTTTCTAGTTCCTCAATGAGCCACGAATTTAAGTTTGCAAAATAATTATTAGTTATGAAACAGGGAAATCTTTAAAATTCACGTGGAGGCAGGAAGGAGTTGGAAAAGGGGAATAAGGAAAAGGAGTAATACTGATCTTTATAATTATCAAGTGCTGGTTCACTGGGCTCTGGGTGATAAGGAGGATCAAAGGAGTTTTCATCTGTTCAGTGATGTTCATGGACAAAAACCGCCAACTCAATCCTTAATCTCACCTCTTTATCAGATATCCAGGTGAGTAATAGCTTTCTAAGCATGAACATATTTTAAAAATTGGATAATTTGGGGGCACCTGGGTGGTTCAGTCGTTAAGCGTCTGCCTTCAGCTCAGGTCATGATCCCGGGGTCCTGGGATCGAGCCCCGCATCAGGCTCCCTGCTCGGCGGGAAGCCTGCTTCTCCATCTCCCACTCCCCCTGCTTGTGTTCCTGTTCTCGCTGTGTCTCTCTGTCAAATAAATAAAATCTTAAAAAAAAAAAAAATTAGATAATTTTAACACTTCATTTGAGGCCATGCCCCTGAGTTTCATTACTTTTAACTTTTTTAGGTATTCCAGCAGGTACTCTCCTCCATATTTTAAGTAGTAGGCTTATACAGTTACCTCTGGATTCTTGAAGGATAGCCACTATATAAACTTTATATTCTGCAAGATGAGAATTTAGAACTCTTGTATCATCTTCACTTTCTGTCTCAGTTTAATTAGATCACAATGTTCAGTTTAAAAGTTTTTATTATGGCTTTGTAAGTATACTGTTATTATATTTCTTAAATAATTTTCCTGAAGATGATAATTGCTTCACTTCTTCGTATTCTGTGTAGCTGTCACCAGTTCTTCCCAGATTCCAACAGGATTGTAAAACCTTTTGCATACTGTTTTCCTCAGTATATCGTGTAAAGTGAGTTTCACGGTTCTCTCCCTAATCTCTCCCTAATCCTAATCCCTAACCCTTCCTCCCCTCCAAACACCTCCAGAAGTTTCTCTCTTGGAACCCTCTTTCTGCTCTGCTCCAGGCTAGTTGCAGGTTTGAAACTATATTCTCAGTTGGTTGGGTTTTAAAAATTCTAGGTTAGAAACAGTCTCCACATTTTGTAGGCATTACTCCTAGATTCCTGTGTTGCTGATGAGAAACCTAATGCTGTTGTGTATGTGTGCCAAATCCTTTCTTTATAACTTTTTTTCCCCCTCTGCAGTTAGGACCTTTTATTTGCAACATCCTGAAATTTCACAGTGATGTGTCCTTTTCTGTGGGTTTCTTAACATTGTGTTGAGCATTCAGTAGGCCCTTTCACTGTAGAAACTAAAATCTTTCAGTTTTGGTAAATTTCCTAGTGTTTGAGAAACTTCCTTTTTGTTTCTGCTGTATTTTTTACCTGTCTTTATTGTACATTCTAGTACAGTTTTACCCACCTTTTCCTACTCTTACTGATATTTTGAAACTGGGGATGTCATTTTTAATTTTGAAAAACTTTTGTATACTCTCAGCTCCCCTTAAAGAAGTTCTAAAATCCTCATGTTTCATGAAAGAAATACCTTTTATCTGAGGATGCTAGTTATAGAATACTTTTAAAAACCATTTTGTTCTGCTTTCTGGTTTCCTTCAATTCCAAACAGAAAAATGTTTGGAAGTGCTGTGTTTGTGAGTCCCAAATCTACTTACTGGGGGATGTTGCTGTAAACCATTGCTCTGTGGTCTTTCATTTGCTCCCTTTCTCCAGAGAAAAATAGGGCTTGGGGAGAGAAGTGTCAGCATTCTGGGAGGGGCAGAGAAGGAGCTAATAATAGTTATTTCACATTCCACGGAAAACTGTTACTCTTCATAATGTGTCTGGAACCCCTCTGACTCCCTGCCTTCAGCATGGTAAACTCTATAGTTTTTTGCCGGGGGAAGGATAGCTAACTGCTCAGCTGCACTGGACCTGAGAGAGGACTTGGGTGTTTGTTCTTACGGACTTGTAAGCAGTGCCCATTTTCAGTCCTGCCTCACTGCGCCCCTCCCTTCTACCTTCTAGGTACCTGCAGTTCCAAAGCCTTTCTGGGGTTCTGCTTTGTGAGTCACTTGCTGCAGACACTTTTCTCCACTGTGCAAACCCCTCCATTTACAGAGAGGCTGCCTGATTTAAATAACCTCTTTGTGGTGGACTTAGCTTTAAAATATATCTACCTTTTACTTTGTGAAGAGGATTAAATAAGTTAATATGTGAAAGCACTTAGAATAATGCCTGCCATAAAATAAGCATTGAAGAAGTGTTACTGTTCTTTGTCTTCCAAAAATGTGTTGACATCTCATGCAGTCATTTCTTGTTCTTGTTACTTTTGTGGGTTTATTCCTTTTCCTTTCCTAAGGCTCAAGTAAGGTTTGGGAGTAGACGTACATGGGATTGTTAATTTGAAGTCTTTTTTTAAAAATTTTTAAAAATTAGCTTTACTTTATCAAAAGTCCTCATCTTTTGGTTGACTTTGGACACTCTTACTAGGCTAATAGTTTCTTCCTCAGAAGCCATTCGATCATTTGTCCTCCAGAAAGGCAGCACATCTCTGGTACTACACTTTTGTGGAGAGCCCAGAATCGCGCAGTAGAAAGTGCTTTGGCTTGGAATCAGGAGTCCCGCCTCTAGCACATAACACCTCTGAAACCTTTGACAAGCTTTCTACCTGTTTCCTCTTCTATTAAAATGAGCTGAAAATTTTTCCAAGACAACCACTGCCTGCCACTCGGTAGGGGTTTGAGCTTGACAGCACAAATAAGGTAGTTGGGCGCAACCGGGAGATACTCTCCACCAAAATGCACGACTTCCGCCCCAGGAGAAGTCCAGACCGAGCCTAAGGGCTAGGGCTCGGGGTCAGCCTGCCCGGGACCGAGTGGCCGGCGCCCTACTGGGAGTGACGCCCGGCCCCGAGAGCTCCACCTCTGCTTCCCCCGGGCTCGGGGGCCGCGAATTCGCGGTCTCTTCCGCTGCGAGAGTGGCAGAAGCCGGGTGCCCTCAACAAACATGGCGGCCGCGTTAGCGTCAGCCACGCTCGGGAGGCCCCGCTGCCGCCCGGGACTCGCGGACTCGGCGTCACCCGGCGCGGGGCCACGTGACGCAGGAGGCTCCCGAGGCGGCGGCGCTCGCGCGGGCTGAGCAGCGGCTAGAGTGGGGTGGGGTCTGCCCGGCGAGGTTTCCCGGCGGGTCCCGGCCTCGCGCGCGCACGTGCCTGCTCGCGCTCGCGGTCCTGGCGCTGCCGGTGAGGAGCCGGGGAGGCGGAGGGAGGGAGCGGGACGCCACTTCCGAGGCCGGGGGGGCTGGGCCGGCCGGCCTGGCCGGGAGGGGGCCGGCTGCGGGCCGCCGCGCGCGCCCGGTCCCGGCCTCCACGGCCAGCGCCGGCCCCTGGGGCTGTTTGCGCCCGAGTCTGCGTGGCCGGGCCCAGCTGTGCGGGCGGACCCGGTACGGCTGCAGGGCCCGACGCCCACCCGGAAGGCCCCGCCGACCTCCGGGTCGCCGCGGGCTGCCCTCGCGGGCTCTAGTTCACCTTCGGGCTTTTCCTTCGTGCGAGTTGGTGGGCCCCTCCGGTCTCTTAACATGTACTGGGTTGACGTCAAACGCAGGGACGAGGCCGTCTCGATTCCGTGGCGGGTGTACCGTGTGCCCGTGGGACAGCGCGAGGCAGGCGGGTGAAGGAGACCCGCTCGCGAAGGAGGAAAGGGTTAGAAAGGCTTTCTAACCCTTGGCTTGGTTTGGGCAGTTTGCTGACCAGCTAGTCTGTGCGGATATTTTTAGTTTAATCACGTTCTCTCCACTTTCCGAGCCTTTTATTAAAATTGTTGTACAACCAAACAGTAAAGCAGCTGATAAGGGGATTCCTTATGTAGTAGGTTGCCGAACTCCTGCATTTTATCCTGACCCGGGACGTGTTGGACATGACCTTCAAACTGAAGAGATAAAGGTCTAGAAAGTGTGTCAGAATCCAACATACCAAAGAAGAGCTCAGAAATACAGGGATCATCCTTTCCTTAGTTGTCACAGGAGGGAGTCACTCCAAAATCAGCCATGCAGAAGTCCAGGTTCATAGATTGAGCCTTCATAAGCTGTGTTGCTAGATTGAAGTTTAATAATCCTCAGTGAAGAATTGATTGCCATGATTTTTGAGGACTGTTTCGATTTGCCTTCTTTTTTTTTTCCCCATAGGAAAGGAATAATGCTGTCAGCATGTCTGCACACTCCATGCTCTGTGAACGAATCGCCATAGCCAAGGAACTGATCAAGAGAGCAGAATCACTTTCTAGATCAAGAAAAGGTGGCATAGAAGGTGGTGCAAAGCTGTGCAGCAAATTGAAGGCAGAATTAAAATTCCTGCAGAAAGTAGAAGCCGGGAAAGTAGCTATTAAGGAATCCCATTTACAGAGCACTAATCTGACACACCTAAGAGCCATTGTGGAATCAGCAGAAAACTTGGAGGAAGTTGTTAGTGTTCTTCATGTCTTTGGTTACACAGATACCTTGGGAGAAAAGCAGACCCTTGTGGTGGATGTAGTTGCAAATGGTGGTCATACTTGGGTGAAAGCCATTGGCCGAAAGGCTGAAGCTCTCCATAACATTTGGCTGGGCAGGGGCCAGTATGGTGACAAAAGTATCATTGAACAGGCTGAAGACTTCCTCCAGGCCAGTCACCAGCAGCCTGTGCAGTATAGCAACCCTCACATCATCTTTGCGTTTTACAACAGCGTCTCCAGCCCCATGGCAGAGAAGCTCAAAGAAATGGGCATTTCTGTGAGAGGAGACATAGTGGCAGTTAACTCTCTGTTAGATCACCCTGAAGAGCTCCAGCCGAGTGAGAGTGAGTCGGATGACGAGGGCCCTGAACTTTTGCAGGTGACCAGAGTGGACCGAGAAAATATCCTCGCAAGTGTTGCGTTTCCAACGGAAATTAAGGTCGATGTGTGCAAAAGAGTAAATCTGGACATTACTACTTTAATCACATATGTATCTGCCCTCAGCTATGGAGGCTGCCACTTTATCTTCAAAGAGAAAGTGCTTACGGAACAAGCAGAGCAAGAGAGGAAAGAGCAGGTTTTACCACAGCTGGAGGCATTTATGAAGGACAAGGAGTTGTTTGCTTGTGAATCTGCTGTCAAGGACTTTCAGTCTATTCTAGATACCTTAGGAGGACCTGGGGAGAGAGAGAGGGCCACTATGCTAATTAAACAAATTAATGTGGTGCCAGATCAGCCTTCTGAGCGTGCCTTGAGACTAGTGGCCAGTTCAAAAATCAATAGCCGCTCATTAACAATTTTTGGGACGGGAGACACTCTAAAAGCCATCACCATGACTGCCAATAGTGGTTTTGTCAGAGCTGCCAACAACCAGGGTGTTAAGTTTAGTGTGTTTATCCATCAGCCCAGAGCACTTACTGAGAGCAAAGAGGCTCTAGCCACCCCCTTACCAAAAGACTACACAACTGACAGTGAACACTAATGGTATCCTTTAAATATTGTCGTGGAAAACCAAAGGCTGGGTCCTCCCATCTTAAATGGGGAGGAGGAAAAAAGGTCTATAGTAAAAATAATACTTAGAACTCTTAAACCAGTAGAGTTGATTGTGTGTGTCATCTATAAAATATATAACCTAAAGTAGAAAAAGCACAAGAGACAAGCTTATTTATCAAACTGCCTACATTACAGCGATTAAGAACAGAACTACATCTATATAAAGCTTTTAGCTGTGTTGCAGTACTTTTATTTGATTCAGTAGGGCAGCAACCCCCTAGTGGTAATCAGCATTTCATGGGGTATGGCTATACTGCGTCTCGCATTAAATATCTGGAGAAAACTGAAGCTTGTTTTTCGTTATATTGGTTCATCTGTTCATGTGGGTTGAGGCTGGGAAATTTATAATTAGTTTTTGGTTATAAAGTTATGGCCGTTATTAATGAAAAGAAACTTGCTTGATTGCTGTATGTCAGGCATACTCTGGTGGGTGCGTTTACGAAGAGTACGTTAATATGGAAGAAAATAAAGTGAATACTGGTCACGTGAGTCCCATGAACCTATGTATAGGCCTTTGTGAAAAGAAAGAGCAGTCCCATTACTATACACCTGGGACGTTTAATGTAAAATATTTGAATAACTTGTAAAAGAATTAGAGAAAACATTTGAAAGGAATTCAAATTTTACTTTTAAGTACAAATAGTTCCCATATGGCAGGGATTTGACTTACAAATACTGCCTTTACTCTTCCTTTTGCAAGTGGCAGGTAACAACTTGACAACTGCATTACTTCACTCTGTGAAATGGTGGTAGGAGGTTCCATGCCTGTTGCATGACACAAATCTTAATGAAAAATAAATTTTTATGTCCATGTTGCCTTAGGTGCTTTATTTGCAACAAAGCAAAACAGATTAGCAAAGGAGATATGTATTGACTGTATTTTAAAAATTGGGGACACTAGGTCTTAGCGCTTAAGTATTAATGTGTAGGAGCCAGTATTAGAATACGTTGCCACAGCCTGACCTCGTTCTTTTGTGCCAACTTTACTGTTTTATGAGAAGGGAACTCAGTTTCCAGCCACAGTGTTTGTTGGTGGGGGCGGGGGTGGAATTTGGTTGTAGGATGTCCATGAACACTGCAGTGAAATGCAGAAGTAAACTTGGGGATGTTTCTCTTGGGAGAGATTCCATTATTAACTCAGAACACAGTTCCTAGGGGAAAAGGCTCTGATTGGGATTCCAATTTAGTAAAGAGAGGTGGATTTAACTTGTGTTGCACCTGAAATTGTATAGTGTTAAAAATTGGGCTTAGGCCTTTTTGAGCACCTATTAAGATACTAAGGTGCTTCGTACTGAGCATTTAATAATTTGGTCTAAAAATGAATAATTGGTCTTTGCTCTAAGGAATTCTTAGTCTGATATGGAGTTGAACAGCAACTGAAGTGTAATTTATTGAGTGTTGTCATGTGCCAGGCACAGTACGAAGGGCTGAGCTTTCAGGGAGTAGCAGGAAAAAGGTAGATTTCTATCCCTTTCCACGATGAATTAATACCGAAGAACTTGAATCTTTGCCAACCAGAATACATACAGCCACAGCAGTCTCAGAAGAGGCTGATTTCTGAAGTGGCCATAGCTGTGGTTCTCTCATGATCATTTTCCTTTCCTAGACATTCAGTGATTGCAGTTGCTAACAATATAATCAGTGCAAGCAGTAGATACAGACGTGGTGGGGCACTGGATCCTGGAACATAAAGTAAGGAGTGGTGCCTTCTCTAGAAACACACACACGACCTGCATGTATCCTAGACCCGCCACAGCTGACCAAAATTTATGTATATATATACGCGCATATACACAAAGGTAAAATATAAATAATAAAAGAATTAGCACAATGAATCATGGAACACTTCATCTAAAACTAATGATGTAATGTATGGGGATTAACATAAGAATTAAAAAAATAAAAAAAAAAAGAATTAGCAAAGTTAAGAGAATTGTTAAATACCAGTTAAAAACTGTCAAGTCCAAGGAATCACGGTTTTAAAGCAAAGCGAATGTCCGGAAGATTACGAACGTGAAGATGTGTAATGTAGAAGCTATGATTAAGACCAAGAATTGGAAGTGGTGGGTGAAAGAAAAAGCATGTCAAAAATCCTCATCTTATTTAGAAGGGAGTCAACAGCAACTCTGTGATTTTTGCCATTGAAAAATAGCGCAATATAATTTGAGGTGTCAAACAGGAAATGTGACTGATGGTACAAGTTAAACCAAGCTGACTCGCTTTCAAGTGAAGGGTGAGTTTGGAGAATAAATGCAGTTCATATAGGGAAAGACAAGTCAAAGGAATTCACAAGGAAGCATAAAAACCAGAAAGCATAAAATAAGAGACATAGAAGACCAAAAAGGATATAAAATAGCTGGGGAGAAGATAAATTATTACAGGGAAATATACTGTATATACTGTTTGGGTAAATTTGGAAATCTCCATGACATAGGGATTAGAATTAAATAGCCTAAATAACCAATAACCATTGAAAAAAATTGTTGAAGCTATTCAATAATGACCTCCAAAAAGATGTCCAGGCCTAGTTAGCTTCATTAGATAAGTTTTTGCTTACTTCTACATATCAAATAATGCTTTTGCTCTAAAAAGTAGTATGGAGCGCGACACCATAAGTAGGGTGGACAGTATTGAACATGGTAGCTGGGGTGTTCTCTTTATAGTCCCACCCCTGTCCTCAGAGGAGAACTCTGGCCTGCTCCTGCTTGAGGACAGAGCCTTAGTGGAGGACTGGAGCCCGTTCATGTAATAGTAGCCTGGTCACCTCAGATCATTACTGTACTGGGAATGTTTTCAGATTCATTTTATGGAATATAAGCATAGTTCTGATACTAAAACCTGACATAGTGTCCTAAAAAGAAAGCTGCAATAAAATTTCAGGTTAAGAATATATGCACAAACATCCCAGTTCAAATAGAGCCCAGGCAGAGAATACCTCACCCTGTGGGGATTTTGTTTCCCAGAGGATGAAAGGCAGAGATGAGTCCCCAACCTTAATCCTGGGGATTTGGGGATTAGCCTCCATGCTGGGATAGAATCAGAGACATAAGGCTTGCTTGAGACGAGGTAATCCCAAGACCCCTGCACGAAGCCAGAACCTTTGAAAATCTGCGGCTCCCGTGAAAGGAGATCTTGCAAACATCGCCCAGGGAGACAGCAAGGAGATTAGACTGTAGTGACTCTGAGTGGAAGAAAATGAGAGAAATCAAGCCCAGCCTGTGCTTTGCATGGGTTTAGAGTCCAAATTCTGTTAATAGCTTTTGAGGGAAGACTCAGTTATGTGAAATTAGTATAAAAATTGTCCCAGGCAAGTACTGTCCTTCAGACACCTGACAGAAACATACAGGGCATCATTCTGGACTTGGGGACACTTCAGTTTCCCAAGCCTCACAGAGCCCAGTGGGATAAAAACTGCTTGGCAGAGCTTTTCAGTGAGACATGGTAAAAACAGGAAGAAACCCGCCACGAGTCAGCTCCTCAGTATTGGAGTCTTCGATGTGTTCCACATGTATCTTCTGAAAAAAAAATGTATGTTCTGAAAAAAAAAAATAATTCAGAGTGGCAGATGGAGGCTAAAATACCACTTGCAACAAAACATTGCATATAGCTAAGTTGGAGAATGTGATTTCAATCTGCAGAAAGAGAGCAGGACCCCCGGGTTCCGTAGACGCTACCTACCTAGTCCCAGGTAGTGCTGGCCATGTGACAGGGGAGCTTGTCCCCTGCAGAGCTGCAGAGAACACCTCACCCATGGGAAGCTTGTTCCCAAGAGGAAAAAGGACCGAGATGAGCCATCCATCCCAGGCAGTCCTCTCAAATTTGGTGATCACAAAAATGACTCTTTATTCCCATAGCAGAAAAGGGACAGAAGTGTACTGGTGTGGGAGGGAGAGAGCCCCCACTCCCCCCCCTCACATCATGGAAATCACACTAGGAAAAAGGCATTTCTGTCTCCACGTAAATAAAAAATGATTACAGAACAGAAGCTAAAGAGAGCCGTAGGCAAACAGGGCTTCTAGAAATAGGAAAACTATCAGTAAAAAAAAAAAAAAAAAGCTGAGAAACTTTTTAAGAGTTGATTAGACAAAACTAAAGCAAAGATTCTGAACTGAAATATAGATCTTAGTAAATTTCCCAGAATTCAGCAAAAAAGTGAAATGATGGAAAACATGAGAGGATGACACGGAGGACACCTAGAAAGGTCCAGCAAGGGTCACAGCAGATACGGCTGGCGCTCTGAGCCAGGTCCCTGTTCTCCCTTCCTCTACCTGCCTGTCCTGTAGAGAATGGAAACCCTCATTCCCCCGTTCATGCCTTTACCCAGAAGTGCCCGAATTCCTTGCTAAGGAGACAGAAGTGGACCCCTGTTCGTCCGCCTCCTCCTCATGCCTTCTTCCTGGTCAGTGTGGGTGACGGCAAGGCTCGCTTGCAGGAAAATTATAGCTAATAAGCGTAAAGGAGATGGTAGAATTGGGGAAATCGCCATGTTGCCGTTCTAAATTAAATAACTTTATGAGACGAGAGAAAAGCCAACGGAATCTTGTAGACTTTGGTACCGACTGCATATGCTTTCTTCAAGATTTGTTGCTGTGTGAAAAAATAAAACCCCCATGTGTTGAATCCACTTTGGCTTTTTCAGTTACCTGTAGTTGAAATATTTCCAACTGAAGTTAAGGTCGGGCAGAATTTCCTTCTTTTTTTTTTAACGATTTTATTTATTCATTTGAGACACAGAGCAGAGAGAGAGAGGGAGAGAGCATGAGCAGGGGGAGGAGCAGAGGGAGAGGGAGAAGCAGACTCCCCGCTGAGCCAGGAGCCCGATGTGGGGCTTGATCCCAGGACTCTGGGATCATGACCTGAGCTGAAGGCAGACGCTTAACCATCTGAGCCACCCGGTGCCCTGATTTCCTTCTTTTTTATGACTAAATAATCTTCCATTGTATGTCAGTGTGCCACATTTTCTTGATTCATTTATCCCTAGATGGACACTCAGGTTGTTTCTGTGTCTTGGCCATTGTCAAAACTGCTGCTTGCTATGAGCATGGGGGTGCAGATATATTTGCAAGCTGATTTCTTTCTGATAAATACCCAGAGGTGAAATGGCTGGAACACATGGAAGTTCTACGTTTTATTTTTATCTCTTGAGGACGCTCCATACTGTTCTCCACAGTGGCTGCAGCAGGTGTGCCCTCCCACCAGCAGTGCACCACGGGTCCCTTCTCTCCTCATCGTCACCAGCACGTGTTATCTCTTGTCTTCTTGATGGTTGCCGTTCTGACAGGTGTGAGGTGTTGGCTCGCTGTGGTTTGATTCCTGAGCTTAGAGGGAAAAGTCTGTAGCTTTCCACCTTTGAGTAGGATGTTGCCTGTGGGCTTGACATATAGGGCCTGTATTATGTTGAGGTACAGTCCCTCCACACTCAGTTTTCTGAGAGTTTTTAATCATGAATGAATGTTGAAATTTGTCAGATGCTTGTTCTGCATCTATTGAGGTAATCATGTGATTTTCATTCTTCATTTTGTTAATGGGGCATATCACATTGATTGACTTGTGGATGTTAGACTATCCTTGCATCCCTGGAATCCCCCACTTAATCATGGTGTGTAATCCTTTTAAGGTATTGTTGAATTTGGTTTGCTATATTTTGTTGAAGATTTTTAGATTTTGGCTTGTAATTTTCTTTCCTTGCAATGTTTTGGTATCAGGATAACGCTGGCTTCGTAGGATGTGTTTGGAAGTGTTCCCTCCTCTTTAGTTTTTTGGAAGAGTGTGGGGATTGGTATTAATTCTTCTTTGAATATTTGCTAGAAGTCACCAATGAAGCCATCTGGTCCTGGATTTTTCTTTGTCAGGAGGTTTTTGATTACTTATTCAGTCACCTTATTAGTAACTGATCTGTTCAAATTTTCTATTTCTTCATTCATCAGTCTTGGTAGGTTATATGTTTCTAGGAATTTTCCCCATTTTTTCTAGACTGATCAATTTGTTGGTGTATAATTGTTAGTCTTTATGATCGTATGTGTTTCTGTAGTATCAGTTGTAATGTCTCTTCTTTCATTTCTAATTCATTTATTTGAGTTCTCTTTTTTTTCATGGCAAGTCTAGCTAAAGGCATGTATATTTTGCTTAACTTTTCAAAAACCCACCTAGTCTCATTATTCTTTTCTGTTGTCTTTTTAGGGTCTGTTGATTCTGCTCTGATCTTTCTTACTTCCTTCTTTCTACTAACTTTGGGCTTAGTTGGTTCTTCTTTTTAGGTTGTTTATTTCTCGTTTCACAATTCAAGGGTTATCTCTTCTGGTGTCGAATAGGTAGATGCAGTTTCTTTAATATATTTGCCACGTGTGTCTGTGGGGGGCGGTGCGTATGTGTGTATGTTTGTTCTGGATCCCTCTAATTCTTCAGGGTTAGCACATTTTACTAGGGCCGTTATCAATAGCTTCTCCCTTCCTCCCTTCATCATCAGATTCTCTCTCCAAGCGATTCCACAGCCTTGCTCTCTCCCAAACTCAGTGCCTGCTCAGCACTGCTGCTTCAGGTAAGGAGGACTTTCCAAGTCTTTTCTTTTTGATTCTGCTATTTGCAGGCCTCAGACCCTCCTGGTCTCAGATTGGCTCTTCATAGCTCCCAGTTCTAGTGCTGCCTCTGCTTTTGGGAATGGAACCTTTGTTTTTCTCTTGGGTCTCTTTCCCCCAGGACCCTCTCACCTCTCTGCTTTTCCACGAAGTTTCTACCAGATCTGCTAGTCTTAGATGTGTATTTCCCCCATTCGTTTCTAAAGTGATATTTATGTTCTTCTCTGTATTATAATTATGCTGTAGGAAGAGGTTGTGAGTGTTTTATTTGCTCTCCTTTCTGTTCCATATGGTTTAGAGGAGAACATTTAGTGAAAATGACAGCAAGGCTGTCACTAATTGCTTAATAGCCCTCCACTGAACAGATATATCATAATTTTTATGAACTTCTTTACAATCTATTGAGGGACTTTTAGGAAGTCTGTAGTACTTCGCTATCATAAACATGTCCAACTGAAAAAAATATGTTCTGAAAAAAATATGTCCAACACTAGGGCTCTTGTTGTGTAATATGTTTTCTAAACCAAGAAATTTGCAAATAGGATGCTAAGACAACAGGACTGTCTTGTTGAACCTGGCTGTCCTGGGCATATTGGACTCTACCTTGCACAGCATATGAATTCCTAACAATAGAAGTAAAGTATTGAATGTTATGTGCCTGTACATTTTGCAATTTACTGCCAAATTGCACTCCAATAAATGTCACCAATTTATAATTGCAGAAATTATTTGCAAAAGTGTCTTTAACCTACATTCTCACTAATGCTGAGTATGCTGGGCAAAGAACTTAACCTCACCAAACTTTAGAAAATTTTAATAAATACGATAAAAAAGATTTCATTATCTAAAAGAAAGTGTATTTAATTGTGAGTCAGGTTGCTGATAGGTTTATTTGCCATTTACACTTCCCTTGCTCTGAATTGCTTAATATGTTTTGAGCGTTCCTATTTCTGTTTCTTTATTGATTTATAGGTGCTTTTTGTATAAGAAGGAAATTAGTTTTTTATGTGTTATGTATTGCTAAATCTCCTGGTTTGCCATTTTTTTGTTGTTGTTGTTGTTACTGAGAAAATGCTGTTATGTTTATCAAACACCATTGCCTTTTTGCTCCTGAGCACACAGTTGAACCACATTTTTTCAGCCTCCTCTGAAGTTAGATGGGGCCATAGGACATGGGTAGAAGTGAAATACGCCACTGCCACGTTTGGCTTTCAACCTTCTTGCCTAATTCTTCACATTCTTTTTCTCATCTCTGGCCAGATATAAAAGAAACTAGTGGAGGATTCTGAGTCTGTGGGTTGGTGAAGGTACCAAATAAAACAAACTGGGTTCATGATGTCCACGGTGTTGAAAAAGAAATAACGGGCCCCAAATGGAGTCACTAGTGCTAAGCCTCATATCAGTAAACCAAGATTTAATACCCTTAACCTAACTGCAGCTTCAACCTCTTTCAGGATGTAACCTCTAACCAGTGAGCCTGGAATTACCCATTCCGCACTAGTGAGATCATCTACCCAGTAGACCCTTTCTATTCCCCCGAGGAGGGTGACCTTGCCTGAAACAATGCATTCTTTGCTAATAACTTCCTTTTTCTGCCCCTTTCCACCTTTAAAAAAAAAAATATTTATTAATTTGAGAGAGAGAGCACGAGTGGGGTGAGGGATAGAGGGAGAGTGAGAAGCAGACTCCCCTGCTGAGCAGGGAGCCTGACACAGGGCTCTATCCCAGGACCCGGGGTCATGATTAACCAGCTGAGCCAGTCAGGTGCCTGCCTCTGCCCCTTTCCACCTTTAAAAACCTTTCCTTTCCTGCAGCTCAGCAGAGCTCCTTCTTATTACTAGATGGGATGCTTCACAATTCATGAATCATTGAATAAAGCCAATTTGATCTTTAAATTTACTCAGGTGGATTTTTGTTTTTTAACAATGGTGAGCAGCATCTACCTGCTTACCTCCATTGTATGGTGATTTGAGCAAGAAATAAAAAAACTGATAATCCACTAATGAATATACCCTTTGCTTTAATAGATGGTATTTTTTTTGTCTTGGAGATGTTTTACATTTCATACAAATTATTAGTCTCTCTTCCTTCCTGGATTCTGCATCAGACTTGAAAAGGCTTTCTGAAAGTCCTATTGTCGGATTGCCAGTTTCCATTTCCATAAATAATATATGGCAGTGCTTAACTCCCTATAGCCTTACCAGAATTAGGCCTCTTTAATTTTTTCAGTTGTTAAAAAAAAATGAAATCCCATTTATTTGATTACCAGTGAGTCTGGGATTCTTTATATATGTTTAACGGTCATTGTGTTTCTGCCATAAATTGCTTGTTAATTGCTTCTCTCTCTCAACTGATTGATTTTATTGATCTTTTCATTGATTTATAAAATCTTTATATAAATTAAGGATTATACCAGTTATCTATTGTTATGTAACAAACTATTCCACAATTTGGTGGCTTAACATAATCACCATTTTATTGTATCTTATGATTTTATAGGTTAGGAATTCAAGCAGGGCTTGCTTCTGTGATTCTTCTCTTCCAAGTGGCGTTGCCTGGGGTCACTCAGAGGTGCTTAGCTGGAGGACCCACAACGGCTCTGCTCACAAGGCTGTCACCTTGGCAGGGATGACTGGAAGGCCATGCTCAGCCGGCCCCTCTCCCTCTTCACGTGGTCTCTCCAGCGGGGTAGTTGAACTTTTTATGGTGCAACTTAGGGATCCAAGCGAGAGTGTTCCAAGAGACAGGAAGTGAAACCTAAGGTCTCTTAAGGCCCAGCTAGGCCCAGAAACCAGTATAGCGTCTTCCCTATTCTAGTGGTTAAAGCAGCACCCGTGGCTCACTTCAGTGGGAGGTGAATAGGGCCCAGCACTTGATGGAAAGCCTTTTATAAAATTTGTGGGCATTTTAAATCCATCATGAGGATTCAAACCTTTTCCCGTTAAATACATTGCAGATATCGTTTCCTGATTTTTTTTTTTTTTTTGGTCTTTCAGTGTTTTCAATGGTGGTTTTTTTTTTTTTTTTTTTTGGTTACACAGATATGTTAAATTTTTATGTAATAAAATATGTTGGTTTTTTATTTTTCATTATGGCTTCTGGATTTTATGTCATGTTGAGAAAGGCCTTCTCCATCCAAAATTATTTTTTAAAAATTCCCCTATACATCTTTCTGGTGTTTGGTTTTATTTTAGTGTGCATATGTTTGATATATATGTAACTTACATATGAAGTCAGAACCTATAAAATATTTTCCAAAATAAAGTGAGTATCAATCTTTTAGCTCTTTTTATTCAATTATATTATTGCTCCATGAACAAAATTCTATTTTGTGCTTCCACATTATACTAATAGCATTTTAGATGTACCTCAACATAATTTTGAGGACCAGCCCTCAGAAATGAGCTCTACTCATAGATGTTTAAAGTATTCTGCTACACTGTTGAAAACTATTTTTTTTAAAGATTTTATTTATTTGAGATAGAGCGAGAGTGAGAAAGAGAGTGAGAGCATGAGTAGGGTGGGGGGCAGAGGGAGAAGGAGAAGCAGGCTCTCCACGGAGCAGGGAGCCTGACACAGGGCTCCATCCCAGGACAAGGACAGACTCTGAAGGCAGACACTTAACTGACTGAGCCACCCAGGTGCCCCTAAACTGTTGAAAACTATTTTAAGAGCATTTCCACTGGCTATAACTGAATTGTGCTTCCATTTTTTTCTCCATTGCTGAACTCCATTCAGTTTTTCGGGGTATTACCTTCACACTTCATTGTATTTTGAAAGATTCTTTGGATGTGATCTGTTCTTTTCTCTCTTCCCAGAGTTTTGGCTGATTGTTTGGGTCATCTTAAGAAGAAAGCAATTACAGATATCACTATAAAAGATTTTTCAACTTGGATGTTAAGATTACCTCAGGAGAGGGGCGCCTGGGTGGCTCAGATGGTTAAGCGTCTGCCTTCGGCTCGGGTCATGATCCCGGGGTCCTGGGATCGAGTCCCAAGTCGGGCTCCTGACTCAGCGGGGAGTCTGCTTCTTCCTCTCCCTCTGCCTCTCCCACTGCTCATGCTCTCTCTCTCTCTCTCTCTCTGTATTTCTGTGTCTCAAATGAATAAATAAAATCTTTAAAAAAAAAAAAAGATTACCTCAGGAGACAAACATTTACCACAAAACATTTCATTTTAGGAAAGACTTTTTTTGTACCTCCAACTAAAGATATGTAAACAGAAGGGTCATACAAAATGACTATAGATCCAAACTAAAATTAATTTCAAAAAAATTTTTTTTTGGTGGACGACTGTATATGCCAGCGAACTCTAGTGCAAACACAACACACACACCTGTATGTGTGTGTTATGTATGTATATATTTTGCATAGTGTTCTCCCTTTAAATAAAAAAGCAAAATGAAATTTTTTTTCTACAAAAGTTTCTTCAACGAATCTCTGCTAAAGAAAATAATTGTCCATAACTTCTGAATTAAGGGTGGAATTCTTTTGGAGTGGTGTGTGCGTGGAGGGAGCAGTCAAGGTGGGCAGAGGGTTGTGGTTCCTAAATCTCTTGCTCAGAAGACAAAGCAAAGAGCTTTGGAGGCTTCTTTTCCTGGGATATTTCGCAGTGGATGAAAAAAGAATTCTCAGCCAGTAGGGCTTCCTTAGAAGATGAAGATGGTGCTAATAGCTACAATATTACTAACAATAGCGATATCAATGACAACAAAAATATCCTCTCCTCTCCGAGCCTAACTCAGTCACAGAGTGAACTAAATAAATTACTTTAAAGATTTTTTTTTTTTATTCATTTGAGACACAGAGACACAGAGAGAGAGAGAGCATGAACAGGGGGAGAGGGAGAAGCAGGCTTCCCGCTGAGCAGGGAGCCCGATGCGGGGCTCGATCCCAGGACCCTGAGATCATGACCTGAGCTGAAGGCAGATGCTTAACGACTGAGCCACCCAGGTGCCCCTAAATAAGTTATTTTAAATTTCAGTTCTAGCTCCATTATTTTCAGTTTTTCTTTTTCTTAAAAAAAAAAAAAAAAGCACAGAGGTGGTTTAAGATTTGATGATCTTACATTAATCTCTGAGGATGCACTAGTCATTCGGGAGACCCCCTGGTGTGAAAGACACTGTTCTCCGTGCCAGGAATGCAAAGGTGAATGAGATTGTCTTGGTTCTGGTCCGCATGGAGCTTTATGTATATCCCGATAATTATAGTCTCAGGACTAACATGCAAGATACACTGATTAGCCTTAATATGGAATTTATAAATCCAGGCTGAATGAATTGCCATCAGTTTGGTCAGAAAGTCAGGATACTTAAGAATCGGTTTGCTACGTGAATGTTTTCCTATCTCTGGTGCAAGTAAGAATGCTGGAAATAAAAAGGACTTTGCAGATCATGTTGGCCCAACCCACCACTGAGGTGAAAACAGGGTTCTAGAGAAATGAGTAAGAGAGATGGAATTCCGGTTTGCTAATTACCAGCTCCTCCCACTGGGGGGCAGCACCACGCAATGGTTCAGACCTTGGGAGCTGCACGGGCCCGGATTTCATTCCTCAGTTGGCACCTTGCGTGAGCCCTGGGCCAAGAACTTAACCTCACCAAGCTTTAGTTTCCTTAACTGTAAAGTAAGAAGAGTACTTATTTTATAGGATTGTTATGAGGATTTAAATGAAATAAGATACTGTATGCCCAGCATTTAAAACAGTAACCATCAGTTCTTACGATCATACTTCCTATACCTTTTATATATAATTGCCCTTAATTTTTGTGCTACTTATAGGTGGTCGGCGCCCCTAACCTCCGCGATGTTCAAGGGCTAACTGTACTCCCCTTTCCTTAACTCCTGGTAGTGATTCTGGCGATAATTCAGACATGGCCAGTGGAAGATCTTGTGAGGCTTGAGATTGGCACTCCATGACCACACAGCTCCCCAAACAGGGTCCTGATGAGTTTTAATGAGGGCCATTGTCCTTTTCTGTGATGAAGAGCACATTGGCCTGGGATCTTTTCTGTGTGTCTCTGTGTATTTGGGGGCACAGGGGTGTGGAGTGGAGGGGAGCATGGGACCTTTGTGGGCAGGCAAACTGTATGGGGGGGGCAATTTCAAAGCTGGTGGCAAACAATTCGATGGTGTTCCCCAGATTCAAGACCATTCATTTACACGTGTTCTGCTTGCTAGCTGTTCAACGAGTTCTGGGATTTTCCTCTACCCACCACCACACATGAACCCTCTGGTGGGCGTGGTGGGAAAGAGGATGCGCCCCTTCTCAGCTGTGCCACCCAGAGGAAGCATGCAGAGCTACCGTGGCATCTAGTTAGGATGAGCTTAGAGTTCTCGTCTTTA